ATTAAAGATTAACACAAAATGAGAGCCAAAGTGCGAATGACACTATCATCTCTATTGTTAGGATGAAAAATTAGCCTATAAAAGTATGATTGTTTAATCTATTTAAATATGGGCAAGTAAATGATTTACATAGTTATTAATTTAGCTCATTTTGACTAACCCAATTCAGTCAATCCAAAAGCTGGACTGATTTGTGACCCATCGAAAACCTTGTTCAAATATTTTCAAAAATACCTTTTTTTTTTCGTTCGACATGTTATAAATAGTTGCAATAAGAATATTTTTTTATAAAAATATGTAAGAATTGCGCGAGTTGGACATTGATCCATTATTTATATCAACATGACCCAAGCTCAAATAATCTTTGAATGAATTAACAATACTCATATTTATTAGTTCAACTTGTTTTAATTTGTCAAACTAAACTTAATTCGCTCATTCGACACACTTATACGACAAGTTACTCATACTCTTCACTTTTGATGTTGTATCTGTATCAAATTCTTCAAATATACACTATTAAATCTAATACACATTCATTATCTTTTTTGAAAAATCCGAGCTAACATAAAAAATAAAAATAAAAAATAAAAAAGGTAGAGAGAGAAAGGCATTACAAGTGTAGAAGTTAAACCTGGGAATTTGGCAGCCACATAAGCATAGTAAGTGGGCCAGATTGGTGACCATTGTATAACGTCTATAACTTTTGCTTCACTTCTATACTTAACCTTTTTTTTTTCACCCCGGTGTTTGGAGCTCACGTTAAAACTCTGATTAAATTCGAATCACGTATTAGAGGGCACATTTGAAGGTGACACTTTCAACCGAATTTTCTCCATATTTAAGGCTCCAATCCGACACCTCTGATTAAGGATGAACCAGTCTCACTGCACCACAACCATGTTGGTTCTATACTTAAACCTTATTTTAATTGAGACTCATCAGCAGCAAAGTATAGGGAAAAGGGTTATTTTTTAAATGAATAAAATGACCTTTTCTCCACAACCATAGGCGGAGAAGAGGCATTTTTCTCTGCAAAAGTGAAGGCTTGGGTTACCTAATCGGCACGCACAAGCACTACACTTGTCATTACATAACTTTTTAAAACATAATATGTATATGTACACTTGTCACAAAGTTAACAGATAGATTGCAGCATTATAATTATCTAATGAATTTAAGTTATATATATTGATGTGATATAACGTGTTATAGCAGATGAATAATTACTTGTCATTGTAGGTCGATTTAAGTTTATATTGCAAAAACTAGAGGCTTTTCGAATTTATATATGAGTCTGAATTCGAAAAAAGGAAGCTTACTGCATTCTTATAAGCTATGTATATATGTTAAAGTGAATATCTAAACACAAGCCCATAGTTTTACCAGAGTAATAACCAAACCTATAACTAAAACTCCAACTACACTCATTATAATTAAAAATTAACAAATTAAAACTTACTTAATTAAGAAAGAAGCACAAACAAATTAATCGCACTCCAAGAAAATCACTAGTGTTCTACTAACATTCTAATAAAATTTGGCTTGTCAGTAAGTATTTTTGACGAGAATATGATAAAAAATGTTATAGTCAAGCTAATTTTCAATAAAATTCATCAAAATTAATAATTTTTTATTATAAAATTCAAACTCGTAACATTGCGATCCAATAAATAAATAGTGGTGGAAAGATAAGGGATTGTGGGTTATTGTTGGACAAAAACAAAGGGAGGTTTGTGAGGTTAATGATAAAGGATTAAGCCACGCCGAGCCATTAACAATAACAGCCACCACGTAAGTTTTATTATGTAGCCATCATTCCGTTACAACGGGACCCACTCTCCACCGTTACCACGGACCCTTTTTTCCCACGCATTCCCTAAAGCTCTTTCAGCCTAACTGGATGTATAACTTCTTTTTATTTTTTTATTTAACAAAAAAATTGTAATTTGATCCGTTCTAATTTATGGAACACTTTTCGCTTCTCCGTAATATATTAATATTATTTATGTAGTTTGAATTTTGAAAAATAAAAAGTATGTGTATGTGTGTGTGGTGGGGGTGTGGGGGGGGAGGGGGGCTTTTTAGTTGTCTTAGTTTTTTTTTTTGGAGTCAAACGATATGAATTTTGACCTAACATTTAAAGATGTATTTTTTGTCATATTAATATAAAAAAAATTGCGATTTATAGAAATTCCCGTATAGTTTTTGAATATCTAAAATTTAATTTTAAAATATAGAAGTAATGTAATTTAATTTAAGTTTGAAGAATAGTCAAATTGATTCTCGAGAAATGCAACATGACAACTAAAAAGGAACAGAGAGAGTCGTATTTAGTACTCTCTTCGTTTCCATTTGTTTGATCTATTTAATTTGACTAGGCACAAAATTTAAGAAAATAAAGAAAATTTTTAAATCTATATAGTCTTAAATTAAATATGTGTCAAATGTACTAAAATGTCCTTTAATTTTATGGTTTTAAATAAATCAGGTAGAAAGTTAGAATAAAAGAGTTGCTAAAAAGGAAAAAAATAATTCTTTTGAAAATGGATTATATAAAGAAAAATAGGTCAAACAAATTGAACTAGAGGAAACAAAGTATTTTCTTTTTATATTATTTGGAGAAGAGTCATTTTCAAATATGTATTGGGTCGGTTTTTGTAGGGTATATCCCTTTGTGTAAATAAAAAAAAAGAAATATTATTAAATTGTAGACCCAACCAACCAGAGGCCGCGTGAGGTTGCTGCTGACTTATGAGTATTTCACGTTTTAATATTTTATTATACTGAATTCCCACAAAAAGCTTAATTGTTCATATATTTATTTTTATAAATTTTGTCATATGCTGTTTAAATTATTGTGGCACTGAAAAAGTTCTGAATATTGTAATTCAGTGAGTTTTTTTTTTCTTCAAATATTTTGTTTTGGTTAAGATTAGTTCACCTTTTGTTTATCTTAAGGAGAAATGAACAATATAGAGCCCGTAATGGGAGACCATTACAAAAAGCTAGCTGTGTAAACTAACACTATTTAGAAATAGAGATTTTTACCATCGCGAATTAATAAAATTTTTTGTATAATATAAAACTTAATTTTTCTATTTTATTTTTATTGAATTAACTCACTGCAAAAATGCATGGTAAGAAACAAATTTTCACTGAAATATTCTCACAGGAGGTCAAATTCCGATTGTTGTGACACTCAATATTTTTTCTTTTCTCGATAATTCAATCAAATATCTATGAAAATAATCAGTAACAGTTTTATCGAAAAATAGCGATTTTTAGTAGTGTAACTAAGAAATAAAGGAGTTATGTCTACAGATATTTTACACTAACAGTGTTCTTATTGACACTATAGAAAATTGTTTTTCATTTTTTAAGGTTACAAACTAATATTTGTATATAGTATAATTTACCTTTCGTTATGTTTTAAGTTATGTAATGGTGTAAATACTCAAGAAACTGTTTGTATAAATCAAAACAAGAGGAAACTACCCAAATAAAAATATCATTTAATTTCCAGTAGGTAATACAGTAACATGTAAAATTTATACAGAAGAAGACAATAAAAAAAACTCTAGAGCTTTCAAATGATTACAATTGTACCAAAAGGAAAAGAGAAAGTCCAATGTCATTACCAATGTTGTCGCATACGCACAGATTGAGTTATTTTTTTCACCTTCGGTAGTTGATTTATATTCATTAGAGTCCAACTAAATTTGGAGTGTGTATTACAATATCTATTTTGGAGGGTGACGCTCTGAATAAGAGTTATCATATTTAGGGTCCCGAACTCAAAACTTTTAATTGAAAGATGGAGGGATCCCAATCACACATGCTTAATCTTCAATTTTCTATAAAGAATGAGATCCCTGAACTACTTATAAGGCTCGGATGATTCTCTTCTATTTATCTTGAGCCATCTTCTAAAAATGTAAGTTAGGTCCAAAGCCTAATTTGACATAGTATCAGAGTCAGACTCTTTCAATATGGGCCCCTCGAAGGACCGGTTGAAGGGAAGAGGGTGGAAATACCCTTGGTCCCAAACCTATTGAAAGGGACCTTAGTTCATAAATGTGCACACACTAGACTGGACAATCGAACCGGGCCCATATTGGTTAAGGGATGAGATCCTTGGAATACTTATAAGACTTGAATAATCCTCCTTTTTCTGAACTAGTTTTTGTAGTTGAATTAGACTACCGATTGAAAGGTTTGGGAATACCCCTTCCATAAATATGCATTAAACTAATTATAAGGTCTGGACAACCCTCCTCCATTGACATCGATCCGAACTTCATAATATTTAAATTATGGATCCAAGAAAATGTTAAATATTTGATTAAATGATTATGTCACCAACAACAACAATTTAATAAGCTAACAAACAAGTTAATAATTAACAAATACATTCTCTTTTTGGTCGGGTGTGTTGTCGTATAATGTATGGATGTTGTTTGCCTCTTTAAGAAGGCCTAGCTAATATGTGCCCTCATTTTTCTTGACCTTCGTTCTCTATCTCTTTAATCAAACAAAACATACAAAAACACTAAAATCACATTTTTTTTTCATATACAAAAAAACCGTCAACTTAGGTCTCCATCAAAAATTGGTGGGGGTGGTGGTGGTGGAATAATTAACTTGTGTGCTTCACCCTCAGCCACCATTTTTTCTGCCTCCAAATCTTTTTTACAATGATCTTTATCTTCTTCCTCAAGTGATAAGGTGACAATATATATATATATAGTACTCATAGTTGTTTTCTATAGAAGAAAAAAAAGAATGTTTTAATTTGTTACACATTCTAGTTTGCATTTTTTTTGAAACCCTATGTTTTTCTAGCTCCTCATTTTTTTTCCTCTTAAGGAAGAAAATTAATTTCTTCTCTACTTTTCATATATACTTTGGGATCTGATCATAGTTTTTTATTTTTTTGGGTGGAGAGGACCATGAGACAAGTTTTTTTTTTTTTTTTTTTTGGGTGTGAGTTAAAAGAGTTCGATTCCCGAGGAGGAATTGGTAGCTTCTCTTTTTGTCTGCTAGCTTTGTAAAGTTGAATGAGAGTTTTATAATTCTATATATCTTTTTACACAGTGGCTTTGATTGATCTGAATATTTTACAAGAGAGAAGCAGATCTGTGGATCAACAACAAACTCTAGAGGATCATTACAATTATCATCAAAGGTTGTCTTGATATAGCTAGGTATCTTCCTCTTCTTTCTTATTTCATTTTTAGATAATTTGATGAAGAAGATCAAGTGTAGTATCTGTTCGTTAATATCTGATATGTGAGTCGTCATTTTTTTGGAAAATATTAATTCATTTTTTTAACGAGAAAGTCCATCAAGGTAGCTTGCTATCTCGAATTTTATGTGTCATCACCCTAGACAAAGAAAAATATAAGTTAATTGGATGAAGAAAGTGTTTTCAAGGTCTTGCAAAATGTTTTACAAAATTATTTAGAATATTCTTGTTAATTTTCATCATAAATTTATTCACTCTACTTAGATCTTATTTTCTTAAAGGATGAGTATAGAATATGTAACCTTCCTCCTCCTCCTTCCTCTTTTGTGATATCAAATTAAATTTATTTTGAGTGTACTATATGCATTTGTGAGATATTAATTTAGGTGCATGCTTCTTGAACTTAATTGTTTGATAATTTAATATGTATTATGTTGGCTATATCTAAACAAATTAAAGTAAAAGTATATAATTTTGATTACACATTATATTATTATACTTTTTATGAGTGGAGGAGACATTATACTTATCGTACTTGTTTCATTCAAGTTTCATGCCTAAGGCTAAAGCAAACTTGAGTAGTGTTTTTTTTAGCCATATCTTCAAGTGATTAGGGCTCTCATGCTTTTATCCCCACAAAGTTGACAAAACAAATTCTACACACATTATTTACTTTTAGTGTTTTAATTTGTTTTAACATATATACATGGTTTTTTTTTTTTTTTATTTAGGTAATTAATTCTGAATTATAAATTCTTCCTTATGATTTGAACTAGCTAGTGTTGAATTTGATTTTCTTTTTTATTTATTAGGGTTTTGAATTGAGGTGTTACATAGATTATACAAAAATAGTGTGTATGTTCATGTTAAATCATGTCTGATTAGTTATAGCAGGTAACCAGTCTTATTTTCAATATTATTATTAATAATTTGACAAGTGGTTTAGTTTAGAAAGGAAACATGATATATATGTTTTCTGAACAATGAAGTGAACTGATGTTTAACATTTTTAATCACTTGTACAGATTAAAAGTATGTGATCACATGTACAATATCAAAAAAAAAATCACTAAAGAAAATTGGTGAAATGTTCTCTAATTTCCTTACATTTGTATGTTCTTGAAACTTATAGTATGTGACATAATTATATATTATAATCTTTTTGTTTTTAATAACTAATGTTTTTGATAATTGGAATGCAGGTTTTGATTTTGTGGATCAACAAAAGACATGAATTCTTTTACACATGTTCCTCCAGGTTTTAGATTCCACCCTACGGATGAAGAATTAGTTGATTATTACCTCAGAAAAAAGATTGCTTCAAAAAGAATTGACCTTGATGTCATTAAGGAAATTGATCTTTATAAAATTGAGCCATGGGATCTTCAAGGTACATAGCTTTGATTTATAACATCATTAATTTTCAATGACATATGTTGTAGTATATGTTAATTCTAGATGTGAAAATATACAAAACTTCAATACAACAATGTATCCAGTGTAATTTCACGTGTGGGATTTAGGAAGGATTGGATGTAGAGAAGCTATTTCCGATAGAGCCAGGAAAAGAGATGATCTTCTACTAATTAGTACCATCTATAACGACATCATGTTGTTATAGCTAGATGTTGTTAGAGAAAGCATATAATATAACACAACATGTAAAATCGGTTTTCAAAAACAAACTTAATTGTTATAGTGAAATATTGTTATAGATGATGACTGTTATAGAGAGATGTAACTTGATTGTTATAGTGAAATATTGTTATAGATGATGATTGTTATAGAGAGATGTGATTGTACTGATTTTTTGTTTGTTTATATTTTTCAGAATTGTGCAGGATTGGAAGTGAGGAGCAAAGTGAATGGTACTTTTTTAGTCATAAAGACAAGAAGTATCCAACAGGGACTAGAACAAATAGAGCTACAAAAGCAGGATTTTGGAAAGCAACTGGAAGAGATAAGGCTATTTATCGTAAGCAATGTTTAGTTGGAATGAGAAAGACATTGGTTTTTTATAAAGGTCGAGCACCAAATGGACAAAAATCAGATTATATAATGCATGAGTACAGACTTGAAACCAATGAGAATGCCAATACTATTCAGGCAAGTCTTCTAAACTTAAATAATCTGAATAAATAAGACGAGTTATCTGTTATAGTTGATTGAGCTATGTTGTTATCGTAAAGATTGTAGTTATAATCGATAATTAAGAACTATCTCAAATTAAAACATTCTTTTTCATGTGAAGATTTCTATACCTTAATATATTTTCCTTGGAGTAATTACAGAAATGTGTAGTTATCAATTACCATTGCATAGAAGAAAAAAATCTAACTTTATCCAAGTCTGATAAACCTAGCTCCTAATTATCTTGATTTGTTGATATATAGTAGATAATTGTTGAGTAAGTTATGTGTTTAGATAGAAGTTCTGGAACGGATTATAACTAGTCAGTACATTTTATAAAAATGTGTTGATAAACACTTTTTATGTTGAAATAACTGAAATATCCCTAGAGCTTTCTAAAATAAATTGTTTAAAAGCATATATATCACGAAAAGATATTTAGGAATAAAATTGATCAAATCAAAAATATTTATAAGCTGCAAAATCATTAGTTAGGATTGACCAAGTTATTACTTTTGACTGATTCTGACTTATAAAAGATGCTTGACCAACTGATTGTGTTCTTAACAAGTGATTACAAAATAGTTTGACCAACATATATACAAGTTTAGTCAAATGTTATTTTATTGTTTGCAATTTGATGAGGTTATTACCATATCAATGTTGATACAGAAAATTACTAAGCTCGACATTCTAGATCAACTTAACCTAATAGTACATACATTAATAAGTCGTAATTTATACTGTCAATGCATAAAACATTATAAATTTTATGTATATCCTAACATTATTCAAATCGATCTAGCAGGAAGAAGGTTGGGCAGTGTGTAGGGTATTCAAGAAAAAACTACCAACATCAATAAGGAGAGAAGGAGATCAATTATACCAACACGAGTCACTATGTTGGTATAACGATGACCAATTAGTCTCCAATTTCACGCCTAATTTTGACTCTCCACAACGTAACAGTTTTCCAAATCCATATAATGTTACACCTTCATACCATCATCAATTACCCTACAACAATATGCATCAACACCCTCATAATAATGATGCATTATTTCTTCAACTCCCTCAATTAGAGTCTCCAAAAATCCCTCCATCCTATGGATCAATCAACAACAACTCAATTTACAATAACAACAACAACTATGATCAAGTGACCGATTGGCGAGTACTCGATAAATTTGTTGCATCTCAATTAAGTACTCAACAAGATGGCTACAATGCTGCTTGCTCTAGTTCCCCAGCATCTGAAAAAATGAACATGCAGCTTCAAACTGATACTAAGGGACAAGAAATGAGTTCAGAAATTGCCTCATTATCTGCTTCAAGTTCACAATTTGACAATTTATGGAAGTAATATATAATCATATATAGAAAATATATGATGATGATTGGATTTGATATATGTACTTATAAATTGTTTCAGTTTATGTACATAATAAAACTCAAATATGGTACGTGATGTATTAGAGGTTTAAAAAATTTGTATTCATCTATAAGAATGAATGAAACTAATATTTAAAGAAAAAAGGATCCAAAAAAAAAACATATGGAGGAGCTCTAATATATGTATATAGTACTATTCAAGGCTAAAGATCTAACATTTTAGAAACAATTATTTGGATCATTTCTCGATTTGTGCATGCATGACGTCTTATTTATTAATTTGTGATATCTTTCCAATTTATCGATGTTCTGAAGAGACTACATTAAACTACTTATGAATCTCCCTTGAGTGACCTAAATAAATTTTTAAGTAATTAATTAAGTCTGCCTTCTCGATCTCTAATTACAAAATGTTTTTATAAGTTGACTTTCCATTTTTTTTTTAAACTAAAGGTTGAAACTTTTTTTAACAAAAAGAAACCAATTAATTAGACTAAAAAGAAGTTTAAAATTTATTAAACTGATTGCGAAAAAAAAAGTCGTAGGAAGCTAGGGGTTAGGCCTATAATACTCATACAATTCAGATTAGGTTCAACAATAATATAATTGAATTTATCAAATTTAAATTATGTATCTGCCTCTTATCTGCACTTAAGTCTCATAATCACATTTAAATTTTATATCCAAACTTGTAAATCTAAAAATGCAAAACTATTGTTAGTGTCAAGTGTCAACTAATTAAAGAGAAGCATTTAATTTGACATGTACTAGTATGTGTGCATATTAAATTACCCTTGTGCTAGCTAGTCATATACTATATACAACACAACAGTAAAGTATACACCAACCTTAATTCTATCTCATAAAGATAGAAAAATTGGTTTTTGAGAGAACTTTTTGAACGTAAATAATAGCCTTCTCATGGAAGATATCAATAAAGTAAATAAATCATAAATGTAATGGAGTTGCAAACATGATTATTATGCAAAGAATAGCCTTCTCATGGAAGATATCAATAATGCGCGGTTAATTCCACTTTAATAAGAAGCAAAACTGCTTAACACTTCCAAATTACGATAAAGACAATTATTTAAATATACTTTCTAACATTTTTTAAAAATTTATTTGTACATCAGATGATCACACAATTCAATATGTTATCAAAGCAGAGAATATTTTAGACTTACGACATATTATAAAAAGAAATTTACACACCAAGTAAAAGAGTAGTGCACCATTGCTATTGTTTTTAATTACCAGGATCGTGAATTAATAAGAAAGTTTCCAACTGCAAGCATAATTAAAACTAAGTAGTTAAAACAAATCCACTAGATTAACCAAAACCACTCAAACCTTCTTGTTTGCCCTACCTTGAAGTTCAAGAATACCTCATATTAAATAAATAAATTAATACAAATGAATAATGAATCTAAATAACTATATTTAAAACTTAAATTCCCAGTAAGTCATCGCTTCAAGATTCATAATTCAGCTCACCTTAATTTATCTTCGAATAATATTGAAAGCCATTTTGTTGCTTTGAGGTAGAGGTAAGGTCTAGCCTACACTCCACCCTCCTCAGACCTCAATACGTGGGACTACACTGGATATATGTTGTTGTCGTGTACGTAGAAGCTCAATACCTAGAGGAGTTTTAATTTGTATATTCTATAGGCTATATATAAGATGGAAGAAGATGGTAGTTGTACATAAAGTGATATATATGTAGGAGTTTTTATATGTAGAAATTCAAATTTTAGTTGGTGTTAAATACTCAAAGAACTTAGCGGATAAGTGAGGGAAAAAAGGACGGAACAATTTGATAACATAATTATGCAATAACAATAAGAAGAAACTAAAAAGTGTTTTTTTTCTTGTTTACTTTTTGAGGCAGTTAATTATTATAGAACTTAGTAGTAATAATCATGGTTTTTTACTTTGATGTGGTTGAAATTGAACTCAAACTTGACAGTCGCTTTCAAGCAATGCTCAATTTTAGAGTAGACATCATTATTGAGCGTGCTTTGTTGCTCTCATAATTAACCATTCTAAAGCACTCCGATAGAAAGAGTTACAGGACACGATGATAAAATTAGCTCATAAAAATATGACTCATGTTTAATTTTAGGGGGGGGGGGTGATGACCCATGTTTGATTAGTAACAACAAAGGCATGTGATAACTAAAACACAAGACACAAATGGTAGCAACATAAATCACAATACATGAAATTTTGCAAAAACTACTGTCCTTATTTGTTTCAATTTATGTAGTTTAATTTGATTCGTCAATATTACGACCTATAGTATTTTTCATGTAGTTTTCAAATATATAAATTTTATCTTGAAGATTCCATATCCCAAATTTACGGTCAAACTTAAACTATTTGACTTTCAAAATTCAAATTGTACTATATAAATTGGGGCAGAAGGAATAATATTACTACTGATCCTAAAAGAGAAACATTTACGAGCATGATATACTACCCCAAGCCTAACCCGTTGAAAAGTGAGACAACACTCTCCTACGCCCTAACTACTAACATTCTACCATATATAATTTGTGACCTCCAAAATCTTTTTATCTAAAGTCATATACTCGGTGACCTTAGTCCTCTTTTTTCTTTTTTTTCTTCTTTCTTGAATGGGTAGGGATGGAAAATAAACTAATTCACCATTTGTTTAGTACTAGAAATTAGAAGGGAATTAAGGAGCCCATGCGCATTCATGCAAGTCATGTGTGAATCTATTATTAGGAATATTTTTGCACTCTACTTGTGTTGTTTTGAGGACTAAGGAATATTAATAACAAAATTAGCATTGACCCAATTATTAAAATTCCATGTGATGTCCCATCATTGGTCTTCATCTTTTCACACCCTAGATCCCAGACCATCACTGTCCCAATAAAAACAAATTTGGCCCTCATTCTAGCTGTTGTCTTAATTAATTAAGGGTAAAAAACTTTAAGTATACAACTTAAGTGCCTTAATTACTCCTATATAGCAATATTTTTTTTCCACTTATATAGCAATAGTTTTATTTCAAAATTAGAATTTATATTTTTTTTTTAAAACGTAGAAATAGTCAACCACGTTTATTTCCTTGATTTTCTTCAATTATTTTACCTTCCCTAATTTACTCAGATTTGTTATATATTCTCTCCATGAAGAAAGGTCTTTAACAAAAATAAAACTCTCTTTCTACTCTGATTTACCGTTCAAAGATGGACACCAATAATTTTTCAAATTCTAATACAACACAACGAACGATGGGACGCATCAGGTATTTGAACAACTTACGATTGATTTGGTGTTTTTTCTCACAATATGTATTTAGTCGTTGGTTTAAATTCTATGTTATTGTGGTTTAGTATAAAATTGATATGCTTTGGAAATAGTCTGGTGCAACGATTGGCTGGATTTATTTTTTTAATAAACAGTAAAAATTATTAATCGTTTTTAGTATGTTATTAGGTTTAATTGATAGTGAACATGGTGGATATGATGTGGCTTAGTGGTATTCTGTAGTATGTTTTTAGAAACACCATTAATCATCGTTTTTTTTTGTGCAAGTGATGATAGATTATTATGTGATATTGATACTGTAGATAGTTTGGTGTAATAGATATTATTTATTGTGTTTTTATAAACACCATAGGTCATAGCAAACTGTATTACAAAATTTGTTTTGTGTTGTTTAAATACAACGAAATTATGATATGTTTTTTGGTAACTGATTTGGTGAAAATGTAATTGATATGTTGCATTCCTTATATAAACACCATAAATCAATAATTTGTTTTGGTGTGTGATATGTTGTTATTGGTATTTTTTTAGACCTTATACAAAGAACAACTTCAAGTTAGTATTCTGGTACATCTATTGGCGTATTTAGTTGTCTGAGTTGGTATAGATAACAAATTTTATACCATAATTCTCAAATTACTTATGGTATGTGATTTGGTGTAATTAGTATCTTGTAGACCTTGTAGAAACACCAACTGCAAGTTATTATTTTGGTACATCTATTGGTATATTTTAGTGTCTGACTTGGTATAGATGACAAATTGAAGAAATGTTAAATTGACGTTTATACAACGAAATTATGGTATATATTTTGATAACTGGTTTGGTGAAAATGTTTGTCTAGACCACTAATTTATGTGTCTTCAGCCGTTTTGAATACCAACATGATTAACAGTAAATATTTTGGTACATTTATTGGTGTCATAAGTTGCCTGATTTGGTATAGCTAACAAAATTGAAGAATTATTAAATTGGTTATAAAGCTTATTGATTTGTGATGGTAATTTAATTACTTTAGGAGCACTATTCTGCTAATTTTGGAAATTGATTAATAATTTGTAATTTTACAGGAAATTACGTGGATTACAATTTTGAAGAAGTGATGTATGATGCAAACACCAAATACGAAGACTTAATTAATACTATATCTTCTCAATTGAGTGTGTACGTACACGACCAATTTTCATTTAGAACTCAAATATGTCGTGAGTGGTCCATCTCCATCAATGAAGATTCATAAAGTTATGGGTGTCCAAGTTATGCAATTCTGATTTCTTTTCAAAGTATCTCTTATGTGTAACATGTGTGGATAGCGCTATGGAAGCCATTGAGTACCAAACTGGGATATTCCATCGTATGTTTTGGAAGCGGTAATGTAACCACCAATTGCAAGAAAGCAACCAGGCAGATCACCAAATAATGATCGTAAGAAGGGATTCAATGAAGGAAGATGCAAGAGAAGTAAAGTCACTTGTAGTAAATGTGGTACACCCAAGCATAACAAGAAGACTTTCAAGCTTAACAGTAGTGTGTTGTTTTTATTTTATTTTTACTTAAAACATTATGTAGTTGAAACTTTTAGTTTTATGTTGGTAGGATGAATCATATTATTGGTGTATGGAATGACATAAACATTCATGTTTGCGAGTTTTTGATATTAACTTA